ATCCAATGAAAGAAAAAGATTTTCTAATGGGTCATTTACTTACTGAATAATAAATTTAATAACTCGTCATTTTCGACTTATAGGAATCAACTTGCTTTTCACCAAAACTGTTTTGTTTGTTACTTTTCTTACAATCATTTAAAAAATCTACCACTATTTCAGTTTAAAAAAATCCCTATTTATTTTAGCTTGTGCATGATATGATATTTAAAATATACATTTATTTTATATCAATTTCATACATTTTCACACCGTAATCTATAATACATATGTTTTCTGTATAAGCCCAATTTATATATATATTGTCATGCTTGTGTCATAATAGACGTTTATATATGCATATATCCATGAAAATGTATTATACATGAAAAGAGAAACATTTTATGGACGAGAATATGTATAATAAAAATGCTTACATAAAGTGAAAATTGCAAGGGGTGTATATAGTAGTATACTGTACTTTTTTTACAAACACGTTTGTAATACCATTATACATTTATAACTATATAAATTATATGTATTATATATATAATACATGGTTACACCCTTATATTTTTAACACTGGTCGTCGTCGTCGAATGGCATTTGCTACTTATCCCGTTATTTACTACTCGTCTATTGATATGACAGACGACTCAAATGTATTAGTTTAATTAATACAATTATTGTTCGATCTATATTTAAGTTTACGACCGGTATCGCATGCATTGAAAAATAAAACAAACTCTAAATAAAAATCCAATATCTAGATTTTCTCATTTGAATAGGTCGTATGTACAACCAATGTATAGTATACAAGGGCTATCCAGAAAGTAACAGACCTTTTGAAATAAAAAACAAACAAAGTAAAAAAAATAATTTTTATTACATACATTTTAAGGTAAACTCTGAGACTTATCTAACTTAACTTTATTTTTCAAATTAATCGCCTTTTAAACTAAGGCATTTATCATAACGTAATACAAGATTTTCTATATCCTTATGATAGAAATCTATCGCCTGCGAATTCAACCACTGGTTTACACCAATATGCAGTTCAGCATAAGTGTTAAAGCGTTGCGTAGCAAGTCATATTTCCATCACAGGGAACAAGTGGTAGTCAGTGATGAACTCCGTGTAATTTGTGGGAAATGTTCTGCAAGTTCTATAATCGTGAAACGACGATTTTCACGGGTTTTTTTGTTAATTTTTTCCACCAATTCATCGCAAACGACACTAGGTTTATCACTGCGATCCTCATCGTGAACATTGGTTCAATACACCTATGCCTCAATCGGTTTTCACTAATTATTCCTTAGTCGTACACATCACAGTTCTGTTGATAAATTTAAAATGTTTTTTGATTTTTCGTCAACAATAACCTTATCGCAGCTCTCACTTCACAACTTGCGGCATTTTCAATTACAGTGCTCATTTTAATATTCCACTTTAAACAAAATACGATGAGCGTGATGCGCAGGCTACGACGGCTGGTTGCATACTGAGTGTAGAAACATCTGGAGCAGAGATGACAGCGCAATCCCCCCCTTCACTGCTGTGTCAGACTAAAATGTTTATTACTTTCTAGATAGCCCTCGTTCATATACCAGATACCGATGTCGAGGATAGTAAACTCACCGAAAATATGAATACCAACGTTTATTTATATATACTATGAAAATATGGAAATATAAGTCAAGTTGTAATCATTACAATCCCGATCACCCAAATAATGATAGTAAAATCACAAATCCTGTTGTTATTGACATTTGGTTTATTAAAATAAACAACTGTTTCTGTTACAAGATACTCGTATAATTTTTAAGAAAAAGTCTTAATTTGTTGTTTGGAATGATATTATTTTTTAATAACTATAAATATCATTAAAAGTACATTCAATAGCACACGAATTTAATTAAAAATCCTCGAAACCTAAACTAGGTTTCTTGATCCAAAAAACTTCGCCATTCAGCTGTTATAGAGCTGTTCCGTGGCCATGCATGGGCTCGTTTACATTTTTCAAAGTTGGGAAAAAATATGGTATATTTTTGTGGGCCGCAAAACGCGTGTTTATCAAAAATATTTTTTCCAATGCACACACACATTTATATACAATATACTACTTACAGTATATTATATTATAGAGAGAGAGAGAGAGAGAGAAATACAAAGTCAAAGACAGGGAGAGACATTCCAATGCATATATGATATGGATATATATTGAATATTGATATAATTCATGGAAAACACCATTATATACACTACAATATTAAAAATGTATGCAAATGGTGACGCGTTTTTATAGTTTCAAAATCGACCTTGTTTTCAAATATATGTCGCGCGATGTTACATTACATAATATAATTCGTATGTACACCATATGCGTGTGCTACTGTAGTACACGGCGCAAGTGTATGTCATACCGACCAACGCTGCCAAAGATAGGTGAGGTATATAATGTGTATATAAATAATATATAATTTAATGAATGTATAATTTATGCATATATTTATACGTGAATGAATATGAAGAAACGAACGGTGAAAGCCAATTAAATACTTATTTAAACAAGAAACCTGCCGTCGAATTTTAATAATCACTTGCGACTAATTATAAAAGTATTAAATATATATATATAATATGCAGAAAAGGTAAACCGTGAGTCTTAAAACAATTATTACATATATAACAAAACCAGGGTTTTTAATTTTTTTTTTTTTTTTTAATTTTATTCTATTTCAGTAAACACACATTTCGTTGGAATGTAAAAAAAAACTTTGTACACAAACTTAATACATATATAAATTACTATAATTTTAATGTCAGATATAAAAAAAATTAAATGCATTAAATTTAATAGTTTTAATTTTTTATGTATAAACTGAACTAATTAATAAAAAAAAAAGTGATATATTTATGGTTATTATTAGTATCTAAAAATATTAAAAGCGATGAGATAGCTGCTGGAGAGGACGACTTCAGGTAAAAATTCTTAAAGACTAAACATTTATACCAATTTCTTTTTTTTTTTCATTTGTACAATAGGTATTGAGTATCTATAATTGGTTGTTAAGTCTTACAATTTTAAAAGTGGATTTTAGCACCACAAATAAAAATTAAATCAGTACGGTCAATGAAAATGTGAATCATCACTTATTGTGTATTCACTGATGGATCAATTTAAAATATACCACAGAATTACAATATACTTGAAACATAACATATTACAGTCGTTACTGCAGTAATCCATGGAGAAAGTACATTTTTTCGGTATTTACTATTAAGTACCCACATAAAAATTTTAATTTATTCGAACTCGTGATATTCCGTATTTGTTTTCAAACATCAATATACAATTATAAATTAGTTTAATGAATAATATTTTGAATAGCTATTTCAGTCAATAAAAAAAAAAAAAAAATGCTGGAGTCTAGGGAGAAGCGTTTAATGACCATAAAGTTCCAAGTGTGTGCCTAACTTGATAAGTTGTTCCACTCCACTTTTTGAATCTCAACTATACATTTCTACCTCCATTAAAAATTCAATCTTTCCGGCATTAAATAAAAATAATTTAAAGCGTTAAACGAAAAAAAGAAGAAAAAAAAATTGTTCAAAAGGAGGATAGACCCAAAGTCTCTTACTCAAATAGGCCCCTGCCGGATGGGTATACCACGGTACGTAATTTTTTTGTCTCACTCATTCGTATTTCGTGATTTTTCACATAATTACGTCATCGAACGTAATCACATCGTAAACGTGGCCACCATCATTTGCTATATTATCAGTGTTCAACTTGGCAAAATTAAAGAAGAGGGACTTTGTTTACTTTTTAAAAAAAACCGTCCCCCAAACTTGTCAAGCGTTACGTAATTATAACGTAACAATAGTAGGGGGACGCTAAAATTTCTGAAAATCAGTTAGGGTACACCATCCCTCTGCGTCCCCCCTCAATTCGAGCACTGTATATTATTAATTAATATTTTTTTTCCGCTAAGTCCGTAAACAAATAAACTACTGTGATATAAATGTATGTATATTGTATAATATTATAATAATAGTAAGGTTCGTCCGTAGGGTATGGCGAGCGAGATCTTCGTCCCGGGTCCCACACTTAGCTCTGAATTTACAAGCTCCTGGTTTCCGTATATCATTTTCGAATGATGAATTGTTTCGAATCAATTAATTTTACGAGTTACTGTTAAAAGAAAAAAAAATTGATTATGAAAGTTTTAGTAAATCTTCTTATTCTACCACCTAGTGAACATAATTCAAAAAATGAGTTTTTTCCAATTCTTAACCAAGGAGTTTCTTCTAAAAATACGAAAAATACGTAAAATACGTAAGCAGGGTGTTGGGGGTTTAAATAATTTTCTTTTTGAAAGGCCCCACGAAATGTAGGGACGGCCTAAATGATGGGTCGTGCGACGATTCGAAAACGACGGGCATCGCACCGCAGAATTAAAAAGTTTTAATGATGATGATGATGATGATAATAATAATAACAATGACAATAATAACAATAATAAATAATAATAATAACAATTTAACATACGGAGCAATAACATGTACGTTTATGGTAAATACGATACGGTCGTTGAAACGTGTTGTGTACGCGCGCGTGCGGTTCGTGATAACTATCGTCGGCTTGGTGCGGGGCGGCGGCCGTGACGTCACAGCGGGGTCGCGGCGTATCACACCGTTCCCCCGGCCCGCCGAACCCGCCCGCCGACTCACCGACACCCCGCGGCCCCGCGTCACCCGTGCACCAAGTCCGGTCGCGCCGTATCATGTGCCCCGTGCTGGTCGCAGTCACGTCCGTCGCTGTGATGTTCCCGGTGATAGCCCGTTGTTTTTGCCGCCCGAACAGTAGCCAGTGCAGCCTGTGCGCGTAAACCGTCGTGTGCTGCTCTACTCGCGATCGCCGTCGGAACACCGTGCTTTCTACCCCTCCGTCCAGACCGCCGTCACCGGATAGCGCCCGGACACCATGGTCTAGGCACGTACCCGCCGCCGCCGCCGCGATGGTCGACGAGATCTCGGTCGTGCTGTCCAAGCCGGAGGTGCCCTCGGGTCTGGGCTTCTCGCTGCTCAGCATCGCCGACTGCCCGCCGGTCATCTACGACATCATCGAGAACACGCCGGCCGCCGAATGCGCACAGGTACCATGCACCCAGTACTTAATGCACCCGCAGCCGGCCCTATATGCTCAATGCCACGGCAAACTCCTCTCTCTCTAACCTGCCCTGTCGGTCTCGTCCCCGTTATCCATTTCCCCCGACCAAACCTCCAATCGTGTTCTGCTGTTGTCCAGACACTTGCACCAACGCTCATTGTCGCTGTTTCACTGAACCCATTCACATGTGTTCCCCAATCGTGTTTACGTACATCTTAACAAATACCTTTGATTGCACTATCTCTCATCGATAACACCACATTTCCTTTTACTTTGTGTGGGTGATGGTGTGATCCAAGCACTGTGCATAGTCCATCCACAGGAAATAGGTAAACTTATTTTTGTCAAATTCTTGCCTACCTACACACATATTTCTAAATCTGGAAAGTAGTATGGCCCTGACTTGTTATTGGTTATAAAATGCAATGTCCTACACCCATGTTACTCCTATGTTTTTTTAAATGCCATACATTATTATAATAGTCTACTACATAACGGTTTGCCATCGTTTTTAAAATGTCCTTGTGATTAAAATAATAAATTAATTTGAATGACAATGTACTTACTATAATTTTTATACTGACTTGAGTTGTTTGCATTACTGTAAGTATACTCATATTATTGTGGTACACAATCATCAAATACAGTAAATATAATTAGTAATCATTTACTTTTTATTCTTTGGGATGTACCTATCTATTTTCAAAAAATTATTGAAGACCTTGACATTGAATGAACAAGTGTACATTAACATTCAAAAAAGAAAAAAATACAAATTTTTCTTAAACTGTGAAATATTAAGTATACCATTTACCATTATTATTTTTTTTTGTCTTAGATTGAAGTTGGTGATGTCATTATAAAAATAAATAATGAAGATGTGCAAGCATGTACAACAAAAGAAGGTAGATTTTTATTAATTCACCACTTATAGTTTTAATTGTTTTAATTATTAATTTCAATCTATAAACATTAAGAGTTTGAAATGTTTTTATCTTCAGATAAATCATAACTTGAAATTTTTAATACCTATTATTATTTTTTACACTATCATTCTTCATTGTTTTAGTTGTCATATTTAATTTATCTGTAATAAATTACAGTTCTGATATGTCATAATATTTATTTGATGTTAATTTTATTAACTGTTATGTTTTAGTACTGAAATGCTTGAGGTTAGCACAAAACCCTATAACTCTTAAATTAGTCAGAGGTTAGTATTTGATTTATATTATCTTTTGTAATAACATAATATGCTTGTAATTATATATTGTTCAATTAAATGTATGGTTTTTCAGATCCTGCTATAAAAAATAAAGTGCATAACAAACTAGCAGAAGATGGACATTCCCCTGAAGTATTATTTCAAGATATGGATTCTCCTCCGCCACCACCTCAACACCACCCGCCACCATTAGAAATAGTTACTAGAACAAATACAAACAAAGTAGAAGTACCTAAGTATGAAGCTTTTATGATGACCGGCGAAAGAGTTATCAAAATGTCAAAAAATACTCAGGTAAAATATATTTTCTTTTTGTTTCCTCCTTCAAAATGTTATATTTACTTGTTATTTTAAGGTTTCACTATTACCTAAGAGGGATCGAAAAGTTGATTGTTTAGTAAAAAATGGAGGTCCTAATAAATTTCAAAAAGTCAATTCAAATTCTGTTCCTAGTAGTCCGGTTGAAAATGACCGACCAAATATTGCGAAACCCAACTCTGGGAATACATCACCTGTTTCTCCTCCTCCTACAAGCATTTCCAATTATAAACGTGGATCTCGTTCTGAAGATCCATTACGATCAAACTTTGAATATCCAATGTCTTCCACTACTAGTATTGACACCGAAGATGAAGACATTACATCTTCCTGTAATACTTTATTAAATACTAATATAAAACCACTTGAAATAGAAGACAAGAGGGTATTATGGACCTATAATGCTGGCCATGTACCTGATGAAACATCAGCGTCTTGTAATTCTCTCCAAAAAGTAATGTCACCTACTTCGCCAAACTCTTTATCTTCATCATTAATGTCATCACCGTCAGACAGACGACGACCTGCAAAAGGTTCATATCGTGGTAACAGTCATCCTACTAGTAGCCATTCAAATATATCAAGTCCTGACTTTCAAGATATGGCAGATTCAGATTTTTTGATAAATTCTCGTGAATTAGAAGTATCAGATCCTAGTGATAGTGATTCAACTATCTTGGCAAGTGAACCAAAAATTAGAAAACGCTCCGTAGAAGGACAGTATATGTATGATACTCATTCAGATCATCGAATTGTTATACAAGTGAAAGGTCCTGAAAAAACAAATTTATCTAAAGACAATGAAAATAATAACAGATATTATAATGATAAGGAAAACATTAAATATGATCAAGATTTCAAAGTATGTCATATTTTATGATAAAAGTATTTTTTGTTATAAAATATTTTTAATTTTTATATTTATAAAGGATGAAGAAGATGTTCAAAAATTATTAGCGTTGATGGAAGGTGCAGCTCAGTTAGCTCACTCTGTTACCAATAATGATGAACATTGGACACCAAATGAAGATTTAGATTCAGATAGTTTACATAGTTTTCATTATTCTCCCAAAGCGGTAGATATGCCATCAGCAGTAAGACTAGCCAAACGATTGTTTTACTTAGAAGGATTCAAGAAGAGTGATGTATCACGACATTTAAGCAAAAAGTATTTAAAACTTTATCATGTTATGTTCTGAGATTAATAAAAAATATGATATTATTTTAGTAATGAATTTACAAGAGCTGTTGCTGAAGAATATTTAAAATATTTTGATTTTAAAGGCAATTCATTAGACTTAGCTTTAAGACATTTTTTGAAACAGTTCAGCTTAACAGGAGAAACTCAAGAAAGAGAACGAGTATTAGTTCATTTTTCGAAAAGATATTTGGATTGCAATCCTCAATGTTTTAATTCTCAAGGTAATATTTATAAATAATTATCTAATCGAATGTAAAATATTGTGTTGTATCTTCTTTTTATTTCCGTAAATTAGTATTGTTTTTTAATCTTTTAATTAAATTATTTTTGTTTTAATTATAAATTGTACATTTGCTATTTAATTCATTAATTAAAATATAATTCATTGTGTGTGTAGATTTAGATGATACTCTGATTTTCCTGTTGTATAAATAAGCAGGTAGTCTGTTATTTTTTTATACTATATGATTAAATTTTCATGTGTCTTATGAAATGGATGGTTGAAAAAACATTTAAATGTTCATATTTTACGAAAAAAATTATTTTGAATTTTCCATATTTATTTTTTAACTTTATTGCATAATATAATGTATACAACTTTTAAATAATATTTATAATCAATTGATTTATTTTTAGATGCAGTGCATACTTTAACTTGTGCCATCATGTTATTAAATACGGATTTGCATGGCCAAATGATTGGTCGTAAAATGACATGCAATGAATTTATTGAAAACTTGGCAGGATTAAATGACAACGAACATTTTCCTCGAGATGTCCTTAAATCATTATACATGGCTATTAAGTCTAATCCTCTTGAATGGGCTAAGTAAGATAGTTACTCAATTGCACAAAATTTGAATCAATGATTGTAGAAACGTCACAAGTCACATATCTTATGAAATTGAGATAATAGTAAAACTAGTATAAATTCATTTGGCTGATATATATTTTTACTAATATCTCAATTTCATAAAATATGTGACTCGTGATATTTTTGCAATCATTAATTCATTTAAATCTTATAGTTCTGACAATTTTTTTTTTTTTTTAGTGATGATGATTTAGATGAGAATCAACTTAAAAATGCAAATGCTAGTCAACCAATTGATGGTCTAGGAAATAAAATCCCTGGTCAATTGGGTAAAAGTGGAAGTTATGATGAAAATGTGATGACTCAGGCTTTGGAGTATAAAAAAGGATATGTCATGAGAAAATGTTGTATGGAACCCAACGGAAAAAGAAGTAAAATAAAAATATAATTTGATACCTATGAATCTATTAATAATCGTTTTGTTCCAAATTTAGCTGCTCGAGGAAAACGTAGTTGGAAAATGTACTATTGTACACTGCGTGATTTGATCCTTTATTTACATAAAGATGATTCTGGTTTTCGAAAATCTCAAATTAGTGATAGTATCCACAATGCAATTCATATACACCATGGCTTAGCCACAAAAGCAACAGACTATACAAAAAAACAACATGTATTTAGACTAGTTACTGCTGATCAAGCAGAGTATTTGTTTCAAACTAGGTAATCATTTAATTTAATTCTTGTTAATAGCTCTTATAATTTTAATGTTCTGGTCATGGGTATTATTTGTGTTTAGTGATTCCAAAGAATTAGATTCATGGATAAACACAATTAATTTTGTGTGTGCCAGCTTTTCTGCACCTCGATTACCAAGTGCTGTTGGAAACCAAAAAAAATTTCAAAGACCATTGTTACCATCCGCACCAACAAAATTAAATTTGGTTTGATTATTTACTTAGATATTCCTAGTCATAAGTTTAAAACATTTTAATATCTTAACAGCGAGAACAACTTCGCGAACATGAAGATACTATGCGTCAACTTGAAGTAGAATATGATATTCACAAAAAAAAACCTCCAGAACGTGGAACTAAAAGTATTACTTTACAATTTTACAAAGAAAAAGAAGCACACTTACTGGAAGAAGTAAATTGTATTTATATTTTTCTATTTCTACATTTGTACTAATCATTTTTATTTTTAGTTGAAGCGTTATAAAACATATGTTTACCTGCTAAGATCTAAAATGATCCAACATCCTGAGTATGATTCTAGTACTGCACTAATGGAGACTGATGACGAAGCAGAAGTGATATCTGCTGATGAACAAAATAGTTCTTTGCCCATTTCCAACAGGTACAGTTACAATGCAGCTATTTATTCTACAATGGCGACACATTATTATTAATGTATATAATTTATATAACTTAATACTATACTTGATTCTGGTCATAATTTATATTAATAAATAATAAATGTTGGTTTTGGATTAGAATTGCCAGGTGCAGGGAACAATATATAATTTTAGAAAATTACAGGAATCAATTTACATTAGGCTCTCTATACATGCAAGTTTGGTACATTTCTGATATTGCATTACACTTTTTTTACTAACAAATATTACTGATTTTCATTATAAACTATAATTGAAATTCTGAGCTCAAACTAATTAGCTTTTGCTTTGTGTTTCATGATAAAATGCTTTAGTTTTACAGATGCATTGACCAAAAAAATTGAAATTTAAATAGCGTGAAATGTAAATCTTAGATATGCTTAGCATAATAAATAACTCTCGTTCTTATCAATATTGTAATAAGCTATTTATTCACAATTTGACTGAATATAAAATTATTATAAACAATGATTATTTATCAACAAAATTAAGAGATAAAATTGATATAAATTGAGTTTATCTGATCTATAATTTTTATTTTATTTAGCTTAATATTTTTACTTCTTTGAAACTATGTTGAATCAATATTTAAAGTCTATTTAACTTTCAGCATTACGTTATCTTTGAGAATATATAATTTATTGCGCAACTAAAATATTAAATTCATCTAAATAGTATGTTTAAAAATTAATATAATACAGTTTTATTTGAAATTTTTTTAGTTCGTTTGTATAGTTTTTAATTTATTGTTTACTTACAAGCTGGTTTATATATATATATATATATATTATATACAAACAACAGTATTTAAAAAAAATGTTTATATTTTTAGTACCTAATACTAACCATAATATTCATTGAACAACAAACCATTTTAAATATTAACAATAACAATTTGTATTTTTACATAAAAAAATTAAGCTAATTATTTGCTAATTCTTGATTGTAAATTTTAAGTTTAAATAATATTAATGATAAATATAAATATTAACATTAAATTTTAAAAATATTGAATGCCAATAAAGCTGAATTTTAATTGAATTAAAAATAATGAATTACAATTTTCAAATTTTTTTCTCAAAAATAATATTCGTTTTCATTTTTTTTTTCTTGTATTAAATGGTAGCATGTGCTGTTTATTATTTATTTTTCGCAATTTTGCTGTTAAGTTTAATTACTAATTTACACAATTTATAAATAGGAATTAAAATCAACATTTTTAGATTATTCCTTGCGAATTATTATTACAACAATAATACTTTTAGACAATTGCTTTAATTAATAAATTTAAAACACTACACTACACTGCTGCGCTCACTGATAATCACAAGAAATTTGCATCCAAATTTCTATTTTGACTTTCACGCAACACATTAACATTATGGGCGAGTATTGTGTTATTATTACCTTTTATTATAATTATTATTATTTTATGATGAGAATGTTTTGTGTTTATGCATGGTAAAGGAGTATCGATGCTTGAAGCTGCAAAATATGCCACTGGACTTCCAAGACATTGTCACCTGGCTGTGTAGTTAATTTTTTTTTATTATTATTTTTATTTATTGTTTTTTTATTCTAACCCTATTATTTGTGGTAATTTTAAGATATTGATAATGTTCATGATTTCTAATCAAAAGTAGGCTGTATTCAATGCGAATAGTATTTTATTTTAACATTTGCCAACATTATCTTAATTCAATTATATGTTAATAATTTTATTTTTTGTCCAATTGAAATAATGTTTGCAAATTAAATATAATAAATTCTGTTATTAGTTTGACCACCTGTGTGAAGCACCTTATTTTTGAAAGAAAAAATATTTACTATTTAACAATATTTCATATTCCTTTTTCAAGTATTTACTATTTATTAATTGCTCTGATTGATGTTTACCTTTTTTATTTGATAAAATTAATTTTCTAAGACTTATTCGTGTATAGTTACTTAATTTAATAAAAAATACATACGTATTATGTGTAACATGAATAATTATATTTTTTACACATTGATAAATTTAGCTTATATTTCGCTATCTAAGCCTATAATATATATCATTTGTTGACACTTATATTCAATATGTGTGTATAAGTTCTTATACATTTATCACATACGAGTCATTAAATGTGTAGTCTCTATCAACGACTGACTATTACATTCCTCGTTATTATTTTGTTTGTAATTTTTTTTTTTTTTTTTTTTTGTGTGTGCCAAATTATATTTGATCTACATACCTACAACTTGGTATAATAGTATAAACTATAATTCTCACCCTTAAAATATCTTACTTATGTCTAAGAACAATGTTAACGTGCAATCTTTTTCATTGAAAAAAGTTCATAATTATAGTAGATAATCATGTTATTCAATTATATTTATTCATTTGTAAATTAATTTTTTGAGAATTATTAGTTTTTAAAAAAATATTGATTATTTATTGTTATTTATGTGTCGTTTTTCATTAAATATATCATTGTAAATCAATTTACTTTTTAGTAATAAAATAAACTTCACTACTTAATATCATTATGATATTTTATACAAATTTTTATATGATTAAATTAATGTGTTGTGCAAACATTGTTATGTAATATTATTAACTTATTTGTTTTTCTTTATACGAATAACATAGAATTGTTATCAGTATATTTTATACAACTAATAATTTTTATAAATTAATTATTATTACCTACAAAATAAAGTATATATTCAAATTAAATCAAAATTAAATTTGAATATCTCATTACAAAATAAAATAAAAGTATCTTTGTATGTTTCATAATATTTTCAGTATTAGTAGATTAAATAAATATATATAAATATATTTTTTACCTACATATTTATGAATAATGTAATGTGCAATAATTAAAAAAATATATATTTTATTTTCTGTTTGCTTTGAACAAATTCTTAAGTTTAATTTTATGCTGTGTTTGTTCCACAGGTTGTGTTCATATTAAAGCAAATTAACTTAAACATGGCTTTGTCAACTAATTTATTTTTTGTTTTGTTTTAGAATTTTAAAAGTATCTAGTCCATTTTTAAATGAAATATTATGATAATAACATAAAACTAATTATTAACAACTTAATTGAGTAAGTGTGAACTATAAACAATCTATTTATTACTATTTATTTCTAATTAGATCTAATTAAAATTAATATATACAAAATAATATAAAAGTTTATATTAATACTAAGAGTTCCATGTTAAATGTTCAAAATTGATCAAGTTGTAATAACATTATGCAAATAAAAAAATTACTAACTACTTGGTGTATATTTATTATGTATCTTCACCGTTTATACAGAGACAATTACATAAAAAAAAATGTATGTGTAATTAAGAAATACTAAATAAACCTTAAAAAATAATTGTATTTGAATATTAATGTTCTGTTATTAAAAATTATTTTAATTTATATGATTAGTCTTTTAAGTTCAAACTAATACAACGCTATTAGTAACTTACATAATTTTATTTATTCTTCAACAAACCACAAAAAGAAGATTATTATTTATACTTTATTGTTTTATTTCATTTATAGTTAGGAAACTAAACTAAGCCTGATGTCTTCTACTTTGAGATAAAAATGAAAAAACTTAATTATATTTCTTGTACCATCTGATATGTTAAGACAAACACTTCTTATTATGTAAAACAATATGCTGCATAAATGTATTCAAATTTTACAATTTTTTTTTCTTTATAAAATTAAGCTAAATATTGAATAATCTCCAACATAACAATTATGCAACCAAAGAACAACGAGAAGAAAAAACTGTAATAGTAAACAATACAATTATTGGTGGTAACGAAAATCATAATTTTAAATCAACTAATTAAAATGTATGAACATTATATTTACATATATTTTTACATAAAACAAAAAAAAAAAAAATCATAAAAGTAACTTTTGTTTAGAATCTATTAAATTTTAAAGACTTTTTATAAAACGTCCTAGTGCAAGCATTTTGTACTTGGTGATTCTTTTCAACAGTCATAGTATGTATAAATCGATATATATTTCAGCATGAACGTATTTTAGGTACTAGCATTATATTTTTTTGTTTTTTTTTTTATGTGTTGTCTGAATATAATTGAAAAAAGAAACTTTCCAAGGGAATAAGAAAAAACTGGAAGTATCGGAATAATTTAAAAATCTCTTAACAGAACGAAATAAACACTATGAATATATTATTATTTATAATATATTCCTATACAAGAAGATCGTTGCCACTGCCCACGTCTGGGAAGAGAAAAACGGGTGTGTTCCCTCGGCCGAGAGAAAAACAGAATAGCCACAACCGCGGTTGAAACTTTAACGGCAGTTTTATTATATTTTATAAAAACGCGCATGTTTCATTTGGCGTGTATTTTTAATTTTAAACGTGTTGGGATGATGCGCAGAGAAATTTTCTTTCGGAACACCGACAGGCTACGAAGAAAGTTGGAAAAATTTCACCGAGAAACAACCTCTCCCATCCGACGCGCAATCGTGTACGTATTTATATATTTATTTACACATGCACGTTGCACGCGAACCATTACGAAATCCGAAAGTTGTTCTGTGTCTATTTCGCAGCGCGCGATTTAGTGGACTTGCAACGACGGGATACTGCTCCACAATTATTGAACTGCTCCAGTGCTTCCTTCTACGTGTACATTAATACGAGTTCGATGCCGACGGTAACGTATCTATAAACCAGAAACTCCTACATTATGTAATACGCACACCGCTGATAACTACAGAGTAGAGGCTATGTGGTTTGGTTTTTTTTTTTTTTGATAATTTTTCATTTAAGTCACTAGATCGATTATTTACTTATGAATAACAATTTATATTGAGAACTTGACCGCTTTCCCCTCCCAGTTGCAGATGTTCTTAAACGAACGCCCTTGGCTCAGGTTGCCGGTTTGTACAGAATAAATGTACAGTTAATAATAATAATAAATATATATATATCGTAGGCATATAGTCAAATCAGACATTTTGTTAAATGCCTAGGCATATAGTCAAAGAATTTAATGTTTATGCAATTTCACTATCCACCTAGACATTTAGTTAAATGCCTATTTCATGTCGGGCAAATAATAAAAAAAAACATTTTGTATTATTTTCAAAATATTGAGAAATCGGGATAATTTAAAAAAATATATTAATTAATAATAATTTGATCGACTCTATTAGTACAATGTGCGACAGTATAACATGGAATTATAGGTTTTAATATTTATATAAAATCAACTGAAAGAAACAAGTGCCGACCGCATGTAAGATACCGCTTAACTTTAATGAAACCGGTTTCATATGGTTATAATGGAAACTGTTTTAGGTACCTTCATGCAGTTGCTGCATTGTATTTTTGTACGTTCACGAATGAAATATTCTAATTAAAATGATTTTGAACGGATTATATGGTGTATATGGTATATGGGTATCGTTTATTATTACAACGGTGCTCCTATGTTATACTCATTTAACGCTCGTGCGACCGTACTGCGTATGCGTTTTATATAACAATATGCGCGTATTGTTTACTACATTTACAGAGTGTATCATAAACATGTGAAAACAATTCGATTGAAATATTCGCCTTGGAAATATCGTTTGAATAAAAAAAATTCAACAAACAACCGAAGGTGCGCACAGCTCGTATCGCGCGACCTTAGAAAATCACCGCGGTAACAGTATTACGAGTTTAAAAAAGTTTAAAGCATTATCTCTACCTAGCATTAATACATACCTGCATGACTGCATAATATAATAATCTGCATGACTTACCGAACCGACCAAATAAAATAATCTATCTAATTTTGTTATTATATTTTAAAATGTTATACAATAGACGTTGTGCACGATAGGTGTAGTCTATAATACTACGAATATCAAAGTTAACATAAGTTAATAAAATTTTATATAGGTACTGAGATACTACTTCAATTTCTCATGATTCAACTTTCATGGGTATATTTTATATTATACTGCTGCTCCTAAAACAAAAATGTGAACATATATTATCTATTAGGTACTCGTTAAAATATCAATAACTTGGTATGTTTATCATGAATACATACGACTTGAAGTTAACTTAAATTTAAGGCTAATCTAATGAATAGAAAAGAAGAAAAGTTGTTATAAACCTTATAAACTCGTTTGAATTATGTACTGCAAAGATAAGATTTTTAATTGGGTACCCACTATTAAACATTTCTTGATCCACGGTTTGGTGTGAATGCTGATTTACCAGCTATTTTATACATAAATATTACTTAGTTATTTAAACGCTGTATGACTATTGAAAAACGTTGAAATATAAGAAAAAATGACTAATGTTTCAACGATAACAGTTCGAAGGTTAATACAACTTGATTTAAAAAAAATATGATTACTCGGTACATATCGAATTAAATGCTTCGTAATAATACATGTTATATACGCATGTATAAAGAGCTAATTTTTACAACGAACAACATTTCTCAATTATGGCTAATTACATTTAAGAAAAACTAATGCATTTTGTATTAATACACTAATATGCTATATTAATATACTATTTTAGCAGACAAAATTTTAATAATAAAATCCAAATGTTGTAAGTACCTACCATTTTCTTTTCAAAGTGGATTTTTTAAGTATTAAATGATTTTTTAATGATCACTACTATTTTTCATTTCATGTCTCAAAGTAGAATAATTCTCGGAAATGTTATAAAGTACGTATATTTTACACGCATATATTAATTAATGAATTGATAGTTAATTATTTACGAACATTCAGAGTTTAGAGGAGCAGCGTTGTTTTGCAGTATAATTTTGGGGCGTATGCGCCATCCCTCTCCTCTTATTTAAACTGTGAAGTTCATACAATTTACCGTAAATTATTGATTCGACAATTGATAACTGTAAATAGAATTCCTCATGCAACTATTGTTTTAGAATATACAAATATAAAACAATGATTATAAAATGTAAAATAAAATTTGAGTAAATAATTGAATTTTTTTCGATTCGACAAATTTACTGACATTAAACAGTATATTTTTTTCTCAAAAATACATAAAACCAAGAACATTATCGTTAAAAATACAGTATGCATCTATAAAGTATAATATACAGGGTAGTCTCATGAAAGTGCACGTATGCTATCTAATATTAGAAAATTATAGCATTTCGAAGGCAGCCGAAAGATAAAAAAAAATGCATAAAATAGTAATTTTATAATAGTCAGAAAACTTAAAAAAAAAGAAAAACAAATGAAGAATGAAAATGTTATATCAACCTATTTCTACATCGATTAACAAACACTGGTAACAGTGCGAACTACCTTTGCGTCACCATTAATCGGATTATTTCTGATGACCGTGCACATTTAAGTCTTGTAGGTACCGTAAAGGCTATCCGTGTAGGGTGTTCTGCCTAAAAGGATGTTTATGATGAAAATCTTTTTTTCACTATATCGTCCGACGACGATTGACATTATTGTAAAAAATCTTCGGTGATGTACGACTCTCGTACCAATGATTTTCGACCATCGTCTATATCTTTATTCGCAAATATTTGATCCGTCGGGTCACGAAGAAGAACACGCTTTCGGAGAGTTATCCAGATTTATCATTCAATCGTCGTGCACTATATATCATTGTACATAGATATTTGTTCGGCTACATCAAGTACGTATAAGGTTTGCTCGATGTTTAAATATATATATTAAATTATTCGACGTGACGTTAAACTCGATGTATATAAATTAGTAAAATCAGTTGTACTCCACGTGTATACACAACGAGTAATATATATATATACGATTATAGATTTTTAGAAATAATAATTATTACTCTATACTAACTGTTAGTTTAAAGCTAAAGAATTTTTACAATTCTCAAACTTAATATTACCCTTTGGAGTCCTATGTAACCTCGAAGGAAACAAATATCTTAAATTATCTATAGAGACATGATATCGATGACAGTGTATTTATCTACATTTTAAATTTGGATAACGCTTTGATCGGAAAAATGCAAGCGACTATATAAAAAAAAATTAATAATTTTTCAAAAAAATAAATATGAGTGTTTAGTTAAATAATAACTAGTAGTCACTCGATAATTTGAAATTCAGAAGACTTAACTGAAAATTCGATTTATAGAGGTTGTCGATTTATCGTGTGTTCAAAAAATCAAGGGAAAAAAATAATTCGAATTACGAGTAAATAGTGGTGAAAAATATTATTAAATTTATTTTGACATTTATCATACATATCATATTATATTATATGTTACATATTAAAGAAATCCGTAGAGCAGCATATATTTTTTTTTCATCAGCTTCAACTTCTACAATTAATTTTTTTTTGTCGGTAATCGACAGACACTTATTCTTTACGGGACCCATATTCTGACTACTTTTTATTAGATTTCAATAATTGTTTACTTATTGCAGAGGTTTATTTTTGTAAAATTATACTATTAAAACCTAGATTTAAGAAGGTTAGGTAGTAAGAAATCGTCGTTATTAGTTTGATTACGAGTACGTAAAAAAGGTTATTTATGTATATTTTATCTTTACATAATCACGATTAAAATATTTGAATTATAGAGTTTCTGTCAAAAATAAAATCGAATTGTAGAGTTTCTGCCACCGAAAGGCGTTTCCAATCATCGAGGAAACCGAAATACCTACATTTATTTTCTTTTAATTATAAAGGTTTTCTCACAAGACGTTTAGTTCGATTATTGAAATTTTTCAAATTATCGAATGACTACTGTATTACTAACTACTTATATCGAACTATGTATGTGTATATATATATATATTCCGATCAATGGCGTATATAGGAATTATTTTTACTATGGTCCAATTTACCCCCACCATAGCTACAACTAGAAATTTTTTAGGGAACGGGTGGTTTTAATTATGAAATAAATTATACAAATATAGGAATTTAAATGTATTAATATACATATTTATTATTAAATAAGATATATAATAAATTAAGCATTTTTCTACAGTAGGTAGTAAACGTTTTTGTTTTAAAAGACAATTAGTCATGACTGATACTGTTTGAGTGTCCACATTTTTCATTAGTCACAACTAGACATGAAAAAATTATTTTATTATTCATGTGTATTTTGTATTTCGTATATATTTTAAATAATATTTTTTATACATTTATATGGCTAGTGATGGGAAAATACTGGTAAGTTTAGTGGAAATAAGACCATCTATTTATGATTTTGAAGATAAGGACCAAGTTTTTATTTAACGGATGAATCCATATTTTTTTCTTTTTTACAATTCTGTTCTTAATTTTGTTATGTGTACCACATGCAAATCGGAACAACTTCATCCATCAGATGATATGATAACAACTGATTTTTGTTTTCTGTAATGGTGTTTAGTCTAGGTAGTGTACACTTTATAAAAACAAATTATTTTTAGTTGACTAACACTGTCCAATGCAGTTTTGTTCTTTTGGTGTGCGATCGGCCTAAGACAATGATGTTCGGTTTAGTTGTCATCGTTTTACTTTCGTACAGCTCGGAAATAACTTCGTATTCGTTGACTCCGTCGTCTCGGCAGAAACAGGATAGACGTCGAATAGACGGATTCGTTAATGCGCAGGAACGAAACGTCGACCATACCCGTGCACACGCTGCGAGAGAGTAAAAAACCGCCGTAGTCGAAGCGTTCGGTAATCGAACCGGATTAACAGTCGACCTCGGCGTTAACCTAAATAGGTACACGTTTTCCGTACGGTAATTAATGTTACAAAGACGGGCGTACGGGCACGGGAAACCAATAACACGTTGGAACGCCCTCGCAAAGCATACGATCGCGTATTACCCCGTGTAGGTTTTCACCTGCACCACGAACGCGTTTTTCGTCCGTACGTCACAACGTGATTAGCGAATTGTCATTGGAGCTGATGACATGTATGGACCCAACAGATCAACAAATGTGCGCTATAGAACACCTGTTTTAGATAATATTTTAAAATCGAAAATTAGTCGTCGGTTTTATCCCGTTTGAAAAGCGTTGAGTTATAAATTTACCAACTTGCTGGTACTTCTTCCAGTTCGGGGAGAAAAATATTAAAAATGTTAGTTCATATAAAACCCCTTCCTACGGAAAAACGTGCGTCTGTATGGAATCAACAGTAATGCACCGGCCCAGACAATCGGAGTTATCGAATTTTATAAAAACACTAATAACATTATAAACTATTAGGGATGAGATATGCGCATAAAAAAATGTCCTAAAATTCTAAAATTAAATTTTCTAGGTAACATTAGCCTCGTCACAACCTTAAACGCAATCGTTACTTCTTGTTGCGCTGTTCGTGCGGTTATGAGAAACAAATATGCAAATGCTACAAGTCCTCTGGGTCAAACATTATTATTACACCTATATAAACGTGTCATCGGCTCCATGTCGGAGGAATGGAGGGGGAGATGCCAATTATTAAGCGGTGAACGTGTGTACAAGTACTGACAATATAACAAGTTTGTTGACAACAATATGGTGCAACATTGTACGTTTGTACGTTTAAACGTTACGGCCAGCATTGGGCCCAGGCGCGGCTTTAGAGACTTACTAGGGGGAGAGGCCATTTTATGTATTAACTGATAATAGTTGTTTCCCCAAATTAGTATTGAGACTACGTTCCTATATTATGATATACACCTTATATTAATGTCATAATATAGTTTTTTTAGGAAAAATTAAATTGTTAGGTAGGTATCTAATTAAATAATCGGAATTTTACAGATCACAAGGACAAAAATGTATTAAAAAATTTAAATGT